AGCCATGTCTTGACAGCCATTTACCAGGAAATGTACCCACTGATAGCACAGAAGTTACACATTCTCTCATACGGTAGAAATTTTCTAATGCCTTGCAATACTGGAAACTTTATTTTAGTACTTTTACTTCCATACAATCATAAATGAAAAACAGTGTAAGTGCCTGTCAACAAAACTCTGTTCCTTAATTTGAAAATAACCCAAAACTCAATACTATCATTTGTTCAAATATGTACTACTTCCTATCTGAACTGCTGAAGTCAGGGGGCATGGCCTTTCCCATTCCCAATGCCAAATGTTCTGTCCGCACATTTTTTTCTCCCTTTGGCCAGTAGGGCACATTTCTGTCTTACCCCTGGAACCTGTCAGACTTCTTTAATGTCTATGCAATAATGTGATAAAGTGTAGTTTCAATTAAAATGAAAAAAGTTAATAATTATCAGTTTAATAATACCACTAATAATACTACAAGTATTTTTAAAAAAATACACAGAATTGGAGTTTTGTAATTGTTTCTATGCTTTAACAAGTCTCATATGGACAAAGTTTTGTATCTGTGAAAACCTTCATCCAGAAAAGTAATTTTAAACTTTATTTCATCCTTGTAAATCCTTTGCATTCCAAGAAATATGCAATACTTCAAACTCTTCTACATATTTACGAGATTTCTGAGCAATTTATGGTAATTTGCATTAACTATTATGGAACTAGAACTCAAATTTTATGGATTCTTGTACCATTGGATTTAAATGACAACATAATGAAATAATACAAGCCTCCCTTCCCAAGTACATGTACAAAGCAGATGTTCATGCTACAGAGCAATATAGTGAAGCTGTTAGGAGAATACCTGTTTCAGAAATAATAAGAAAATAATTTGAAATTATTATTCACAGTACTAAAATCCTCATTTGAGAAGCAAGCAATTGTAGTGCTTCAGCAAACCTTTAGCCTATCCAGTGTAATTTTTGCTTCTTACAGTATTCAACTGTCGATGTCTAATAAGAGCGCACAGAAGAATACAAAGTAGAAAATACTATGTTAACCTTTTCCACTGGAACATTTATTTGTAGCCTCTCGCAGTCTTGTCCTGAAGCCGAATGACTGACCCTTCTTTCACAGTTTTTCCATGGCTTATACCTGTTGCTCAGTTAGATCTTCCTCGAATTTTCACAGGCCCTGGTTCTCATAGGGGACTTCAACCACCCTGACATCAGCTGGGAAGACCGCACAGCTAGGCAGGCGCAATCCAGGAGGTTCCTACAGAGCATCGATGATAACTTTCTGATGCAAGTGGTGGAGGAACGAACAAGGAAAGGTGCTCTGCTGGACCTTGTGTTAACAAACAAGGAGGGAGTGGTGGAGGATGTGAAGGTCGGAGGTAGACTCGGCTGCAGTGACCATGAAATGGTCGAGATCAGGATCCTGCATGGAGGAAGCAGGGCGAAAAGCAGGATCAAAACCTTGGACCTCAGGAGGGCTAATTTTGGCCTATTCAAGGAGCTACTGGGAGGAATCCTGTGGGCCAGGACTCTCAAAGGCAGGGGGGTCCAAGAGAGTCGATCACTGTTTAAACGTCACCTCCTCCATGCTCAGGAGGAGTGCATCCCCCTGAGAAAGAAATTGAGCAAAGGAGGCAGGAGACCCGCATGATTGAACAAGGAGCTTCTAGCAGAGATCAGGCAGAAGAGAAATGTCCGTGGAATGTGGAAAGAGGGACAGGCCACTTGGGAAGAGTACAGGAATGTGATCAGAGCGTGCAGGGATGCGACAAGGAAGGACAAGGTCCACCTGCAATTGAAGATGGCAAGGGATGTCAAAAACAACAAGAAGGGCTTCTTCAACTACATCAGCAGCAAAAGGAAGGCTAGGGACAATGTGGGGCTGCTGCTGAATGAGGCGGGTGTCCTGGTGACGGAGGATGCGGAGAAGGCAGAGCTACTGAACACCTTCTTTGCTTCAGTCTTCAGTGCCAAGGAAGGCCCTCAGTAATCCCAGGCCCCGGAGGTAAGAGAAGAAGCCTACAGGAAGGATGAATTTCCCTTGGTTGAGGAGGACTGTGTGAGGGATCGCTTAAGCAATCTGGACGTCCACAAATCCATCGGCCCAGATGGAATGCACCCACGAGTGTTGAGGGAGCTGGCGGATGTCATTGCTGAGCCACTCGCCATCATCTTTGAGAGGTCCTGGAGGACAGGAGAGGTGCCCGAGGACTGGAGAAAGGCCAGTGTCACTCCAATCTTCAAAAAGGGCAAGAAGGAGGACCCAGGGAACTACAGGCCGGTCAGCCTCACCTCCATCCCGGGAAAGGTGATGGAGCAGCTTATCCTGGAGGCCATCATCAAGCAAGTGGAAGAAAAGAAGGTTATCAGGAGTAGTCAGCATGGATTCACCAAGGGGAAATCATGCCTGACCAACCTGATAGCTTTCTATGATGACATGACTGGCTGGGTAGACGAAGGGAGAGCCGTGGATGTTGTCTACCTTGACTTCAGCAAGGCTTTCGACACAGTCTCCCATGATATCCTCCTAGGGAAGCTGAGGAAGTGTGGGCTGGATGAGTGGTCGGTGAAGTGGATAGAGAACTGGCTGAATGGCAGAACTCAGAGGGTTGTCATCAGCGGCGCAGAGTCTAGTTGGAGGCTGGTAAC